ATGGAAGGGCGGGATTTCTCTCCGTCGCTTCTCCTCTGTTTTCTCTCGTTATGGTTGGCTCTTCGGTCTGTTGGGCTGCGCTGCCAAGGGCACCGCTTGTAGCGCTAATTACCGCACTGCGGCGCCTTGCGAGCCGCCCGGGGGGCCTCACGGTGGAAGGCTGCGGCGCGCAAGCAAGCAAACAAGCCAAGCCAAGCCAAGCCAAGCCAAGCCAAGCCCCCGCGGGGAGGGGGCGCGCCCTCCGGGAGCGGCGCTTCTAGGGCCGGGAGCGCCCGGGACCCGCGCAGGTGGCGCACGCCGCGCTGGCTGCCCTTGGCGCTCCGCCTGGCCGGGCCGCGGCCTCGGGCGCAGGGAGACCGCAGGCGACGGGAGCCGCGGCCGGGCGGCTCAAGCGGGCGCGTCCCGGCCGGTGCTGCACCTGGCGCGCGCCGGAGCTGGACGCCGAGCCCGACCGACTCCTCGCTCCCCCGCGGCCTCGACGGGAGGCGCCGCCGGCCCGGAACGGGCTTGTGCGGGCCCCCTTGGCTGTGCTCGCGGGCCGGTGCATTGAAGGCGCCCGCGCCCTCGCACCTGCACGGCCTCTGCGCTAAGGGGCCCCGTGGCTTCCTTATGCCGGCGCCCAGGGTTTGCTATCGCTGCGCTCGGACCCCAAAGGGTGAGCGCTGCAGGCTTCCCGCTGATGCGCCCTGCAGGACGGCCCTCCCAGCATGGTTCGCGTGCTGCTGCAGGCTCTGGGCACCTGCCTTTCTGGTTTGGCCGAGTGGCTGCATTTCATCGGTTGTGATGCAGAAAGTCATGGCTGGTGGGGTGGACGGTGTTGCTCCATCACACTTGGGCTGGACCCACACAGCACACGTCCTTTTCCAGGCTCGGACAGAGGTGCTGCCACCCCAGCGTGAGCCAGCAACTCCACCAGAACAATGCAGATGAGACTGCACACAAGTGTGTGTGTGTGGGGGGGGCAACGTAAGTAACTGCCTGGAGGAAAGTTTACACCTGCTGGTTCAAAACTGTGCACTTAAAGAAGTGGAGATGGGAGACTGTTTAGTTCCCCCTTTGCACAAAGGCCAGATGCCCTTCAAGATGCCCACGGAGCAGCCCTGGCAGCAAGGGAAAGGGGCCAGAGAGAGGGCCTCCGTGTGGGGCAGCAGCCGGGGACTGTGTGCGGCGGGCAGATGCTGGGCCACCACAGCAGGAAGCCCACCTTCCAAGACACACGCCCGGAAGCTTACCTTGAATTGCAGTGCAGTTGTGCAACGCATGGGCCTACATCCAAGGGGAAGGTAGAGCCCGGGGTGAGCTCCATGGGTGCTCTTTTCACCACACCATCTCTGTGTTAATCAGGGCCAGCTGTGCAAAGAGGCCAAGGGAAAGTTCAGTCACCAGGCCCCTCCATTTCCTTCTTTTTAATAAATCACAACTTCAAGAGATTCAACACCAAAAATACAACAGTGGGAGAACACAACATCCATTTCACAGAAGTTGGCCCAGGAACTGCCTCTCTGGGGCAGAAGTCTTGCGAGACACCAGAGGTGGAGGAGAAGGAAGAGAGCAAGAAGAGCTGAAGGGGGGAGGGGCACACCGATTTGGCCACATTCCCAGGCAAGGAATTACTGTCTGTGCCCCTCGGGTAGAGTGGGGTAGGGGGGCCTTCCAAAAGATCCCTCTCCCTGTTTGGGATTGGCGATTGCATCTTCCTTCATGTCCTTAGTCAGATATACTCAGGGATGGGAGCAACCCGTGTCCAAAGTACTGCTGCAGGGGTTGAAATGGAAGCGGACTGGAAAGGGAAGTGGCCGCGCCACCACTTTGCAGCGACCTTCTGGGGCCGCCGCCGCCCCCTCACCAGCTGAGCAGGGAGCCCTGTGCCTGCCCAAGCATTAGCCTGCCTGTGGCTTGGGCAGGTCACTCCAGCAGTAGGTTCCAGGGCATCCAGTCTGTCCCTCCCACTCCTCATGGGAACACACCAACTCGGGCACCTCCTCGAGGCGGCTGGCACCTGCATACCCCACTGGCACGCTGGAGTCAGAGCAGCAGGAAGGGCGGGAGGCAGGCAGAAGAGCAGTCGGGAAAGCAAAGAGGGTCATCCATGACAAAGCATGTATACAGGCCACGCAAGTCTGCCCTCTCTGGTGGGTTTCCACAGACCCCCCCCCTTGCCTACCAGGAGGGTGAGCGGGGCTGGAGCAGAGGCCCCTCCAGCCCACTGCCTGAGGAAGTCACTTTGCCAGGTCCTCATCTGCCACCGCAAGAGCCAAGCTGGCCCTCAACACAGAGGACGTGTGCTCCGCCTGGCAGAGATCTCGGCTGGCAGCCTGCCCATCCTCTGAGCACCAGCAAGCACCACTGGGCAAGGGCGCTCTAGATGGAGGTTTCGTCACACTTGGCCAGGGGCACCCCAGCCAGGTAGATGCGGGCCTGCTCCGTATCCAGCTCATGGATGTAGAGGTGCGGATAGCCATTGAGGCTGCCGTTCTTCTTGGCTGCGGCTAGCGGGTGGCGCTCGTCCTCGGGAGAACTTGGGGTCTGTGGCTCGTGGCTGCAGCTTGTGGTGGTCGACTGCATCAGGTCCAGGCCGTTCCGCTCACGACAGATCAGCTCCTTCTGAAGGCGCTCTCGCCGTCGCTGTTCGTGCAGCAAGAGGCAGCCGCTGCTCACAATGACCCCCAAGACGAAGCAGAGCACGCCGACCAGGACGCTGTAGCTGCGCTCACCAGACCTGACGGCACCGAGGCCCCCCTGGCTGGCATTCACCACACTGTACGAAGCCACCACACCGCCCACGCCAGACTCCACGCAGCGGCACGTGTAGTCCCCCAGAGTTGCTGCTGCCACGGTAAACTCTAGGCCATCGCTACGCACAATGTAGGTTGACGGCTCTTGAGAAGGTCTCTGCCACTCACAGCGGGACCAAGTGGATCGGGGGACACAGGGCAGGACCACTCGAGCAGACACCAGTACTGGCACTTCTATGGTGGTGGGCAGCTCTGCCGGGAAGATGACAGAAAGTTAGAGGGGATGCAAGCAAGGGCAGCCGACGATCCCACCGAAGGCCCCGAATCTTAGAGGCAAGAGCTCGGGTGCTATCCATGCATTTCGTCAAGCCTGCTGCTGGATGGGAAGCCACCGCATGCTCAGCACCGGAAGCGCATGTTCCTAGCACAGCTGAGGTTCCATCTGATCTGGAGCTTTCTGGACCAGGGTCCCCAGCGCTTTAGAGCTGGCAGACACATTTGGAACTGTGGGCGTGTGTTGCAGATGCCCTCCCCCTAAGTCTGCCGTGATGGGCCCAGCCAGTCACAAAACCGTCATATCCCCGAAGGCAAACTGGGCCGGCCCAAAGCGAAGCACACGAAACCATCCCTGGTGAACCTTGCTTTGCCATGGGCCAGCCTCCCACTGGTCAAGAACATTTAAAAGCTTAAGAAACAACACGAAAATCAGGAGGCGCAGGAAGCCTGCGGATCGCCAGGGGCAGGAGTGCCTGCTGGGTTATACAGGGGCCAGGCTGAAGATCTCCCAGGCGAGACCCATCGCGTTTTGAGACGCAGCTTGCCACACTGTGCTCTGCTGGCAGGGAGCGCCACATCCAGCACAGCAAGAGAAAGCACCGCTCCACGGAGCCTTCAAGAAACATTTAGTTATAGGTGCAAAATGGAGGCCATGAGGAGAAGGGCCTAAGCCAGGGACCCCCCAACACTGACTTCTTGGGTTCAACCCTTCACTGGGACGTATTTCAGAAGAGGAGCCTGTTAGAAAGCAAAGCCCCAGCCACAGCCCAGGGACCTTTAGACCAGCCGGGTCTTTCTCCCAGCGTCTGCTGCTTTTCCGGCTTGTTCCCCACTTAAGGCTTGACCTTCTGTGATTGCAATCAACTGGGAGCTTACACTGGAAACGTCGTATGGGCTTGCTCTCAACTGCACTGGATTATTCCGGGAACAGGCTAACACAGAGAAGGCACGCCATTCTCCATCCAGCCTCGGTGGAAATGCCATCCACATTCAGCCCCAGACAAAGCAATGGGGGCACACACACACCCATCCACCCCACAAGCCCTGGGAACCTGACTTTAGCACCTTTCTCCTTCAGCCCGTGGAAGCCCTGGCAGCCACGCCGTCCACCCCTTGCAACCGCGACCACCGTGCTGAGCAGATGGGAGCACTGCAGAAGAGGAACGGCGCTGGCCCCCACCCTGGGAGTTGCCCCCATTCACATATACACCTACCCTTCCTCTCCGCTGGACACAGTGCCAGGACCTTCACGGATGTGATGTCCTGGATCAGTCTGAGAAGAGGAAAACAGGGGCTGCAGAGAAAGTGATGTCTCCCCCCCACCCCCCGCCGCCGGTGCTCAACAGGTAAGGGGAGCGCCCCCACCCCACTGATGGAGAAAAGGCTGCTGCCTGGAGCAGGTGCCCAACCCCCGGAGGCCGTGGCTTCCCCCTCCCCTGCCGTCTGCCCACAGCCCAGCCCCAGGCAGACGCACAGGGCCCAGCAGGCCCCGCTCGAGTTGCTTGAGTGAGCCATGGGCCCTGCTGGGATCCAGGCAGCTGGCCTTCAGAACAGAGGGGTGCCATGTGCAGATGGCTCGCCCTTGGAGGTCGCCTGCGCTTACCCAGCCTGTCCATGGTGTTCCTGGCATGTCCCCAGGTCTGTGTTCCAGGCGCAAGCAGGATCTCTGGCCAAAACACAGTCCTGGCAGGTTCTGTGCATGCTGCAGGTGGCTGTGCGGATCTGGGCCACTTCATTGTCAGAAGCCACATACAGCCAGTTCTGCAGAGAGAGCAGGGAGGGCAGGCACGCCTCATGAAGGCCCCGGTGTGAGGAGGGATCGTGATGGGACAGGCCGCAAAGGCTGCCTCCCCAGCACAGGTGAAGAGGGACCCCCAGCCCATCCGCAGAAAGGTTCTGCCTTTGATGCAACATTCAGAAGGCGAAAGGGTTCACATGGGCAGGTGGGGGTGTTTTCAGATGAGCACGAGGGAGCATTCGGAAAGAGCGGTTTCTATGGAAACCAGTCAAATTTTAAGTGAGTTTCTTAATACGCTTTCTACACTATTATTTCTATCTGTGCTTGCCGCACTTTTGCCATTCCCTTTAGTGTTTCCCAGGCAGCCTTATCCTGAGGGGAGCAGCATCCCCGCCGGGGCGACCACGGCCCTCCCCAGCTGAGCACAGGGCAACGGAAGCCAGGCTGGGGGGCGCTGTGGGGGGCGGAGGCCCTCCTTGCTCTGCTCCAGCGCGCTTCCAACGCCCTCCTCTTGCAGGAGCAGCACAGCCTTCAACTGATCTGGACGCTGATCCGAGGGGCAGCAGCCGCTGATGGGAATCGTTCGGTCCATCAGCTGGGAGCTTTGAGCTGTTCTCTGCCATGACACTGATACCAACTGTGCGTGATTGGAATCACACTGTGGCGGCCGTGCCAGTTTTAGGGAAGGAAAAAAGCAGCTGTCCGAACAGGTCAGGGAGAGCCCAGCAGTTCCGAGCACTCCCACGCGGATGCACTCGCTCCCCCCAGCGCTCCTCTACACACAGCACGGTTCTCCCGCTCTGCATGATCTATGCGGTTTTCACTAGGCAGCAACGGAGAGAGAAGCAAGGCCCACCCCTTCTCCAAAGCAGAAAGTCTGCCAGACGGACAGGACACATCTTGTAAGTACAAGCCCGTCCTCTTCTGTGCAACGACCAGAACTATGCACGGTACTGGAAGTGGAGCTGCACCACAGACGCGTACGAGGCCAACGTGATCCTGTCAGTTTCTCTGCGAGCCTTTTCCTAATTACGGCTGGCACAGACTTGGCCTCTCACAGCAGCTACGTGTGGGGTCAGAGTTTCCGTCAAGCAGCCCCAAGATGCCTTCCTTGGGTCATCACCGCTCACTCAGATCCCATCAGGCTGCACTGGAAGCCGAGGGTGTTTTGCACTTTACACTTGTCTACAATGTACCACACTTGCCATTTTGACGTCTGTTTGCCCTGCTGCAAAAGCAGCTTTTGAAGCTCTTTGCTACCCCTTTTGTTTCAACCATCCTAAATAATTAGGGGTTGTCCGCAAACTTGGCAACCTGCTTCCCAATCTTAATTCCAGATGGTTCATTAAGTTAACACGCACCAATTCCAACAAAGGTCTCCAAGGGGCCCTTTGTGCACAGCCCTCTTTGGTGAGGACCATCCATCACTCCAGCTCCAGGCTTTCTGCTCCTTATTTTTATTATTATTACATTGCATTTCTGTACCACTCAGAGCTGAAGCTATTTACCATTCAGCCCGTTCACAAGAGGGCCTCTCCTCTTCCCAGCGGCTGCCAAGTTTGCTTCATGGAGAATAAGGCTGTCAGTGGCTACTGATGTTTTCATGTTCTCTATACTTTACTCTATATTCTTGACTCTGCTATTGAATCAGATTCTACTGGGGAGGTGCCAATGAGGCCGTCGAGTCCACAATTAATGGATGAATTTCAGTTGTTGCGGCCTGATGATGTGGACAAGGTGCTTGGACAAGTACGTCCTACCACCTGCTTACTAGACCCTTGCCCATCTTGGCTACTCAAGAAAGCCAAGGACGGGATTGGGACCTGGATCCTGGAGGTGGTCAATGCCTCTTTAAGAGACGGCCAGGTACCTGCCCCTTTAAAGGAGGTGGTAGTCCGGCCAGTGCTAAAGAAGGCATCCCTGAATCCAGAGGTGGCCGCCAATTATAGACCGGTGGCCAACATCCTGTTCCTGGGCAAGGTGCTAGAGCGGGTGGTGGCGGGACAACTCCAGGCACTCTTGGATGAAACTGATTATCTGAACCCATTTCAGTCCGGCTTCAGACCCGGATATGGTACTGAATCTGCCTTGGTCGCCCTGTATGATGACCTGTGCAGGGAGAGAGACAGGGGGAGTGCGTCCCTGTTAGTTCTCCTGGACCTCTCAGCGGCTTTCGATACCATCGACCATGGTATCCTTCTGGATAGGCTAGCGGGATTGGGGGTTGGAGACACCGCATTGCGGTGGTTCCGCTCCTATCTCAATGGCCGATTCCAGAAGGTGGTGCTGGGGGACCATGGCTCTGCGCCATGGCAGTTATGCCATGGAGTACCGCAGGGGTCCATTTTGTCCCCTTTGCTATTTCACATCTACATGAAACCACTGGGAGCGGTCATCAGGAGGTGTGGGCTGCGTAATCATCAGTACGCTGATGATACCCAGCTTGATACCCAGCTCTACCTCTCGTTTTCCACCAATCCAGGTGAGGCAGTGGCTGTGCTGAACTGGTGCCTGGCCAAGGTAATGGGCTGGATGAGGGCCAATAAACTGAAGCTCAGTCCAGACAAGACAGAGGTCCTGTTGGTGGGTGGCTAGGGCCTCAGGGTGGGGGACTTGGGCCCTGTCCTAAATGGGGTTGCACTCCCTCTGAAGGACAGGGTTCACAGCTTAGGAGTGCTCCTCGACCCTGAGCTGTCTCTAGAAGCTCAGGTGACGGCAGTGGCGAAGAGTGCCTTCCTTCAGCTTCGGCTGATCCATCAGCTGCGTCCCTTCCTGGAGAACAACTGCCAGGCAACAGTGACACATGCGTTGGTAACGTCCCAATTAGACTTCTGTAACGCGCTCTACGTGGAGCTACCCTTGAAGACAGTCCGGATACTTCAATTGGTGCAGAAAAGAACTGCCAGGTTGCTGATGGGGACTGGGCGTTGTTCTCATATAACCCCAGTTCTCCGTCAGCTTCACTGGCTCCCGATTGACGTCCAGATCCAATTCAAGGTGTTGGTTATGACCTAAAAGCCCTCAACGGCTTGGGACCTGGTTATCCAAAGGAACGCTTGCGTCCATATATGCCCTCCCGCCCCTTGAGATCGGCAACAGATGCCCTTCTCCAGGAACCCTCTGTGAATATTAGGAGGGTGAGTACCCGGAGGAGGGCCTTCTCTGTGGTGGTGCCCCACCTATGGAATGCGCTCCTCAGAGAGGTCCACCTGGCGCCGTCGTTATTTGTTTTTTGGTGCCAGGCTAAGACCTTTTTATTTAAAACTTAATTTAATTGTTACCTTATTATGTATTTATTGGATTTTAAATTTTTAAGCCAAGATGTTACTGGGCTTTTTAATCTTTAATTGTATAAACTGTTATTTATATGTTTTAATTACGTTGTGAGCCTCCCCGAGGCTTTGTTGCAATGGGGGCGGCATAGAAATGTTTTAAATAAAAAAATAAATATACAAAACTGATGCACATTCCTAAAGATTCTAGCTGTGCCTTTCCTATCAGAGGCCTCTGGAGGGAACACAAGCGGGACACTGTCCCTGCGGTCGCATCCTGCTGGGGGCATTTGTTGGACACTGTGGGAAGAGGATGCAGGACCAAATGGTTCCTGGGCCTAGTCTAATTCCAGGATGCTTCTTGGACTCTGTTGTAAACCACCCAGAGACTTCCTGGGTGGTCAGTAAGAACAATGACATATTTGTGAGGAACTGTCAAAGAACCGCATTATATGAAGATGCAATACTGCACTGAGAAGCCAGCCCCATGCTTCTGCCACGGGGAGTGGGGAAGCTCAAAGGCCTGCAGAGCAGCTCCTTCCCAAAAGCCCCAGTGCCTGGCAGAGCCGCTTTGGGCCAGGCAAGCGTGCCGTGACCTTCCCTCAGCAAGGTCCTCCCTCACCTGGTGCAGCTGCAGGTTCCGGACGGGTTGGCGATCTGGAAACAGCCTCAAGTCCTCAATGAGGGAGAGCAAGGGGCCGATCTTCACAGCCTTGTGCACGTGTCCGTCCTCTGGGAGTGTCAAGAGAGCGGGTCAGTCCACTCCGGGGGCAGCTTGGTTCCAGTCCCCTTAAGGCTGCTCTGCCAACCCTGCACTGCACAGGCCCCTCAGCTCTGCCCCCTCCATTCGCCCCACCTGCGCAAAGGCACCTGTACCGGCTCCTCACCTGTTCCCAGGTACAGCACATCATGCTCCTTCCCCGAGAGCGCCCTGACTCGCTGTGCAGCCAGCCGGCAGTACCGAGTCCCTGGGCTGACTAAGACGGGCCTCTTCTCCAGCGGGGCGACCGGCCCGTCCATGAGCGGGTGGTCGCGGACAAAGGTCAGGACGCGGTCTGGGAGGGCCAGCGAGGATGCGATGCCCTCCCACTTCGGGCTGCTGGTGACACACTGCGAGGGAAGAGGAGGCAGGCGCACTGAGGCCAGGCAGGGCAGGGGGCCTCCTCGCCGCCCCGAGGTGTGCCCCCACGCCCCCCCCACTTACTGCCCCCGGCCGCGGCTCGGGAACGTCGCTCTGCGGCAGGCTCGTCCACTTGTCGCAGTCTCTCCGGAACTCCTTGAAGCGGCCGTTCATCGCGCTCTGGACAGCCTGTGCGCTGTAGGCACAAACGGCGGAGCCACGGTCGTCCTTCCTGCCAGTGGAGGGTGGCGTGACGCCACCAAAAGTTGAGGACTCGTGAACTGGCCTACTGGCCTTTTTTGGGCTGCCTTCAAGGGTACATGCCTCAAACAACACGCAAAGGATAAAGAGCATTCGGAAAGTGTCCGGAGCAGACCGTGGGGTGGGTGAACGGCGCCCGCCGGCCTTCCCAAGCACAGGTGCAGCAGGCCGAGTGGAGGAGCAGAAAACGCACACCCTTCACCCACCCCTCCGTGCAGCTCACCACGGCCCCCGCCAGGCACCAGGCTACTGGCACTCACCCCTGAGCTGCAAAGAGGCCATAAAAGATGGCAGCACTTCCATTGCCCACACGCAGCGTCACCACATCCTTCAGGACGTTGAAGACAGTTCCACTCTCAGGGTCTGAGCAGACGAGCTGAGTCTTTAGAAAAGTTGTCCACCTCTTCTGCAGTGTCTTCTGGCCTCCCAAGTCCCTCTGGAAAGGAAAGGGCAGTGACCAGGGGGTGGGGGGAACGCCAAGCACAGCACCCCCATGCGACGCTCTGAGCAGCAGCGGAAGCCACAGTCACCCATACGGCCTTGAACACCCTTGCAAAGAGTCTGGGCACTTGAAGGCAAGCAGCAGGTAGAGCAGGAAGCAGAGGGCACTCCAGAGCAGTGGGGGCACAGCGCAAGAGTCCCCCACGAGGCCTCCCGCTGCACCGTCCAGCTCACCTTGCAGACTCGAGCCACGCGCGCCACCTTGACCTTCTCATAGAAGTCATATTCACGTGCTGTCTCCGTGAAAAAGAAGTAGATCTTGTCATCTTCGCCATCCTCACTTTCACGCAGGAAAGCTGAGGCCACAAATTCAGGATCTGGGCACCAGGAGGGAAGAACAGAGGCCACATCTAAGCCGGCCTCGAGCAGTCCCTGGCCCCGGACTCTGCCGGCCACTGCCAACCGCCAGCCGTCTGCCCAGCCAGCTCACCCACCGTTCAGCCACGTCACAGAGTTCTCCGTCCGGATGATGTCCGGGGGGCTTCCGGGGGCCTTCTCCATGGCTCGGGATATGATGGGCTCTGTCCCCAGGAAGTTGTTGACCGTGGCTGCGTACAGGGCACCGTCTAGAGCGGGGAAGAGGCATGAGTGAAAAGCCAGGAGGTGGAAGGCATAGATTCCACTGCTGCCTCGGCACCGGGGGACCCAAGCGCAGCCCCTGCCTCTGCCGGGTGCTTGCCCCCCGCAGCCTCCATCCCCGTGCATCAAGCAAGGCAAGAAAAGGACCGGCCTGAAGATGAAAGGGGGTTGGGGGTGGGAGGAAGTGGCAACAGCAGGCCGGGTGTCCTTTGCAGCAGCCTCTGGAAAAACATGCAAAGACTCGGAGAAGGGCGAGGCGTCATAGAGCACTCCCCCCATGCCCCCCCCCCCGTGAGTCCCATTCAAAGAAAATATGGAGAAGGGACCTTCCTCGCTGCCGAGGTCAGGAAACAAAGAGGTGCCGGGGCATTCCCATTATCTGCCCACCCCGCAGGCCCAGCGCGATGACCAGCACCGGGCGCTGGCTAAAGAGAAGGCCGCGCGCACCAGAGCGGACTGCACAGGAGCGATCGTGATGCCCCCGGCACTGCCTCACTTGTGCACACAGGCCGCTGGCAGGCCGGGGTTGGGGCAGGTGGCCCAGCAATGACTCTGTCCATCTCGTCCCACCTGAAGAAGCCGGAAGCGCGGAAATCCTCCCGCCACCCCCCCCGCTCAGACAGCCAGCCAGCCCTCAGTCCTGAAGGATTAGCAAGTGAGAGGCATGGCAGGCAAGGGAAGAGACGGGGCAGGAAGTGCCATCCACATGGCGGGGGGGCTCTACCTGCAGCGCTGGGGCTGAACTTTAGAGCGAGCTGCAGGGAGGGGGCAGTGGCCGCCACCGGCAAGCACCTCCCTGTTCTGCTTGCCTGCTGTCCCTCCCCCAACACGGCGCCCATACCTGCCATGATGGCAGAGAACGGCTGCAGTGGCTCAAAGGGGCACTTGCCCTTCCCGGGCTCGGTCTGCTCCACAGCACGGAAATCACGTGTGTCCTGCCAGATACGAAAGGCACAGCCTCGGTCGCAGAGCAATCGGAGGGAGGCAACGGGCGCATGGAGGCCTCTTCCCCCGAGGGGCCAGCCAAAGCGCCCTCTGCGTGGCTGCGCCAGTTCCACCCACTTGCGCCTGGGAGGCAGCGGCACTGCCCGGGGGAGGGCCAGGGTGCCGCGGTCCAGGCGGGCAGAAGCCGAACAGGCAACTCACAATGTATCCACAGCGGGGGCTGAAGGCGAACGTGCCACAGACAAAGAGGTGCGTCTGGTTCACGAACTCCAGGATGCGGACGAAGTTCTGGCACTCCACCTGCAAGGAGGACAGGTGCCTGCTCAGCCGCCACAGAAGCACTCCCGGCGGCCGCCTGGGCCACGTGGAGCACCAAGACCCCCCGGCCCCAGCCTCCCAGCCATTCCCTGAGGGGAGCAAGGCCAGGGCGCCCTGGACTCTGCAGTCTTTCAGGCACCTTCCTGGCCACGCTCTCCCAGCCGCTTTTCTCCTCGTGACACCCACAGCCTAGCCCCGCGGAGGCCGCTTCCTCCCACTGCAACCCCTGGAACCACAGGGATCCTCAGGAACAGGACCGGTGGCAGGCCAAGGATGGTGGCAGGATGAGGCCTCAGTCAGTCCGAGCAACCTGGGCTGGGCCGGGCAAGTGGAAGCATCAAGGCGCTGAGGCCCACGGCCGGCAGCTGAGCCGCTTGGGCTGAGCCGAGCCGAGCCTAGAACGGGCTCTGGGCGGCCAGGAGGTGCAGGGGCTGCAGGGCCGGCCAGGGCTGGCCCTGCCCCAGAACTGTGGGCAACAGCTGCGCTGCCAGAGATGGGAAGCCCAGCCACCACGGCTGTCAGCAAGTCGGAGAGCCCTTGTTCTTCGTGGCCCCATCTGCAAAAGGGGCCTCTCCTGCAGAGCCAGTGGCATGATGGGCAGGGAGGGAAGCGGCCTCGGGGAGACCGTGGCCCTCCAGCTGGGGGAAGGTACCAGCCCGCCAGGGAAGCCTGTTGTCTCAGGGGCTGTGAGGGGTCATACACAGACGCGCCCGCTTCCCAGGGAGACGCTGGGAGAGGCCCAGATGCGAAGCACTGCTCAAAATCCAAAGCAGGCGGAGGAGGAAGAGGCGCATGCCAAGGGCAGCTACTTCCCCAAGGAGCAGAAACAGCAGCGCTTGCCTCACTCTTCCCCTTCTGCATGCAGGACTCCCTGTGGCCCGGTGGCGCACTCCATGTGACCTGGAAGAGAATGAACAGCTCCGTCTGCACCTGCACGTGGGGCTGCAGCAGCCCCCCCCCACCACAGAAGCTGGGGGCAGCTGCCACCCCATCCAAGGAACAAAAGTCTGCAGCCCAAGCTCCAGGGAGGGAGGAGAGAAGCCGGCAAGGCCCTTGGGCCACGGGGTGGGGGGTGGCAGGGCCCAGGAGCATGAGCCTGAGGAGCACCTCAGGTGGGACAGCAAGTCCAGGAAGAAAGAGCAGAGCTGTCCTGCAAGCAGGGCTTCCCCCTCGCCAGAGTACTGGCCAGCCGGAGAAATCACTCCCGCCCCCTTGCACACATCGGCCAGCCCTCTGGCCAAGACGGCTAATGCGGGGGTGGGGAATCGACGGACTCGGTGTGTGGATGTGGGCGTGGGAGGAAGGCAGAGAGGGCTGCTCTTCCCCTCCGCCACCCACCTTCTTGGCCTGCTGGCTGACTGCGTCCAGAGACAGGGCCACGATGGTGTCCTTGGCCCCCACGTAGAGAGTCCGGGAGCGCGAGTCCACCAGGAAGACACTGTAGTTGGACAGCGCGTCCTGGGAGAAGCGCTGCCCCATCGCCTGCGCCTCTGCAACGAGAGCACCCAGCAGGTGAGAAAGCCACCCCGGCACAGCACGTGCAGGAGCGAAATTTCGGGCTCCTGCGGGCAGAAGGGAGCAGGGAGGGAGGGAGGGAGACTGCGGGAGACGCATCCGGTCAGCGGACACGCTGGGGCTGTTCACCTGGCCAGCGCCCTTCGCACCATTCCTGGCCTGGCCTGTCCCAAACTCTCCCTTCAAACCTACCGCAGGGAAAGCTTGGCGTGCCCTGAGCAAAGAATGCCAGGAGTGTGGCTCGAGCATGCGCGCAAACCCTGCGCACAACCTGGGGAGCGGAGGGCCGCTGCCGCGAATGCAGGTGGCTGGCCCTGCAGTGGAGAGCACCAGGTGCCACCAGCTGGACCGTACTTCCCGGGCTGGGGCGCAGCCTCCGTCTTCGCAGGATGGAGAGGGAGAGACATCCCTGTGCTCACAGCGTGCCAGTCAGCGCCCCCCACCACCGACACGGCCGCCCCTGCGCCGCTGCCTCCCGCCGGCTGGCGGAGCTCCAGCACGCCGTGGGCTGCGGCTGCACTCCTCTCCCAGGGCCAGCCACAGTGGCACCTGCTCGTAGCAGCTGCAGCGCACACCTCTGCGCCTGGAATCGGCAGGGTGCAGCCTACAGGGGCCCTTTCCGACTCACTGCGAACTCCCAGGCTGGCCTGCGGCCTCAGCCCAGAGTTATCCACAAACCGACAGCATCTGCAGGGCCGCCTCGCAGCCTAGCAATACCCCCCAGGGCAGGGGATGGCCCGAGGCTCAGCAGGGTGATGCTGCCGCTCGCCCCCACTTCAGCCTCTCTCATGCAGACGCGCAGAGATGTTATTGGAGCAGTTGGGGTGCTCAGGGTGACCCGGCGAGGTGCTGGGAAGGAGCCGGCCTGTCCCAGCCACGCCTCCCCTGGGACAGGCTGTGCGGACAGGCTGCGGCTGGCACACACGCTGCTACTTTGAAGAAGAGCCCCAAGAGGACGAGGGGAAGAGAGCGCTTTCCCACACATGCCACAAGATCAATATGGCCCTGGCCACATCTGCTGCTGCTGCCCCCGCCACCGGCCTCGGCTGCTGGTGTAGCTAAAGGAGGCGCCAACAGAGCTGCTTTGGGTGGCCAAAGGCCCATGCAAATAAAATGCAACCACCCAACAGATTGCCATAACCCACGTGTACATAAAACCAGTGGCACCCGTGACAGCCTGGACGTCCCTGTCGGTACAAGTCCAGCCAGCAGAACCCCGGTCCGAGTGTGTGCAGTCACGGTGGCTACTCTCAGGCACCGTTTCATGACGACTGCTGTCCTTCGTGGAGAGGTCATTTCAGAAGATGGGGGCGCAAAATTCTTGGTCACTACCATGGCAACTGGCTTCTGACTCCCTCAAGTTCCATCTTGTCTGCCAGGTGACAAAGTACATCCATCAAACTCTCGGTGAATTTTCCAGTTTGGTGGTTCAATGCTGATGACAGCCAGCTCTCTCTATCGCCCCCTCCAGCTAAAGCCAAGGAAATATTCAGGTCCCACATCAGTGTCTGATGTCAGTGATGGACTAGGTCAAGGTAGATGCCCTGGGCCGGCTGAGGGGCAGACAGCGGAAGAGAGATCCATGTATGCAGAGTGAGTTGACGCATCACCTGAGAACTGGACTGGCCATTTGGGCGTTCTCCTGGACCCTGCCCTGCCCTAAATGCAGGTCTCCGTGGTAGCCAGGAGCATTCCTGGAGACAGTTGACCTGACCCTGGGATCGCTGCCATTAGTTACATGGACCATTGCTACAGCCCCCCCACACCCCCCCCCCGGGGGCAGGAACTGTCCAGTGCACATACCCAGCTTTGTAAGAGCTGTAAGAACAGAGGCTGCAGAAAAAACATGTTATAAAAGAGACAAATAAAGCATCAGCACCCCAAAACTTTGTTCTCAGGAGTGGGGGGGATCTTTCCCTCTGCACCTCAGTGGCAAAAGCCGCCACACACAAGACTCACTCCAGCTCATGGGCCTCCACTCAGTCCAGCAACTCCCTGTGCATGGAAATGGCAGCAGCTATGGTCCACAGCAGCCGTGGCTGGAGGCGCCAGGTGAGCCTCTCACAAGGGGGCTCAGGAGCATCAGTGCTGCCCTTCGCCCTGCCTACTCACCTGCCCTCGACTGGCTCCTCCCACTCTGCAGCCCCAGCTGCCTCATTGCCCCGGGAGCCTGGGACTAGCCAGAGGCAGCTCCTCGGCCCCCTCCTTCACAATCAGCCCCATGCAAGAGGAAGGATGGGGAGTCTGACTCCAGATACCCAGAAGGCCCCCCACTCCATGGGCACTGCTGAGTGCAGGATTAGGACCTCCCCTGCCCAGAATGCTGTGCGCTTGACCAATGGGCTAAGGCTTCCCAGCGGCCATAGCGCAGCTCTGCTCCGTGCGTCAGAGGAATGCTGCGTTTGGAGCTAAGCGAACAACAGCCACACCGCAGAGGAGTCATCGTCACTGCACCCGCCAGCAGCAGCCACAGAGGTGGGGGGCGCTCCCACACCGGAGACATTCAGAAAGAGCCTGGGCAGCCATCCGAGTGGGATGGTGCAACTTGGTGTCCTGCAACAGCAGGGGGTGGACTTGATGGCCTTCCAGGCCCCTTCGGATTCTTCTATCCTATGCTTCTATGAGGTAGACAAGGGGCCACCACTGTCATGGTGCTAAAGGGACATGTTTTTCACAACAAGCCCCCAACAGAAGACAGCCCTTAGGTTCACCACGGTGGTGCCTAGGAGCGCTTCAGCACAGCACTCCCCCCCACACACACATGCACACAAAGTACAACGGATCCAGGAATAGGACCACATGGTTAATCTTGTGGCCGAAAGGAAGGCCAGGAGCCAAGCCACACCAGCCTGCTCCCCCTGCTGGGTCTTTAGCCTGCCCCATGGAGACAGCACTTTCCTCCTCCTCCTCCTCCTCCTCCTGCACCCAGCCAAGCACACAGGCAGGCTGCCCAGCTGTGGGGCCATCCGTGCATGTGGGGCGCAAATCCGGCAAAAAGGGGAAACTGGCACGTCTGGGAAGTGCCTCAAAGCACTGGCCCTTCCAGGCTTGGGTCTGCCTGGCCAGTTCAGCTCACCTCACAGCAGCCTCCACCAGCAGGAGGAAGGGTGAGCGGGATGCTGCTGCGAGAAGGGCACCCTCACCTGCCCAGGCGGCATCTGCCCAGCGCCAGCTGAGCAGCCTCCCTTGCACAGCAGTGACAAGCGGAGGGTATGAGGCTCCGAGGCGGTGCCAGGACTCCCTCTTTCAGCCAGAGGCCAGAATGGCAGCCCTGTGGCTGCAGGACTGGGCCCACGGTCCATCGCGGCCACCTGGGTGGTTGCAAGCGCCACCTGGGAGCCCTGATGGAAGAGCTACCTGGGGGCCAGCTCTTCCCTCCAGATGCTGCCTCAGCAACAAAGGCCTTTGGTGTTGGGGCTCTCCGTGCCTTCTGGAGCCCGTCTCTGGGGGCTCTGCCTGTCACCCACTCCTGCCTCTGCTTCTGGACCCCCTGCCCAGCTTCCCAGTCTTCGCCTGCTCCACCCTCCGCTCCGGTCCCCGGGTCCTCGGCTTGTCTCTCCAGTTGTCAACCCCTGGCCAGCCTTGGCTGCTCTTCGCCATTCAGACCTTCTTGCCTTGTCCTTCCGTCTCCAGCCTTGACCTCTGCACTGCTGGACTGTGACTTGGAGTGGGCCCTCATGGTTGTCTGGGTCCTGGTGCCCTGATCCGGTGCCCAGACGCCCATGCCCCGGATGCTGACAGCGGTTCAGCTAATTATGTGGGCCAGCAAGCAGGGGCGCGGGGAAAGGCCCAGGGAGACTGCGGGTGGGAAAGCGCATGGGAAGAGGCAGCCGGACCTCGGCACCAGCCGTGAGGGCCTGCTATGGGCCCACACAAAGGCCTGGCAAGGGGCACAGCAGGGAAACTGCATAGGAGCCGGATGCGTGCAGAAGAGGGGAAGGAAGCCCTGCCTCATGGATGGAAAGGCCCTCCTTGCAATCTGGCTGGTATTGGAAGGCCTCCAGGTCACTGCTGGAGAGGGGGGAGGCCGAAGAGCAACTCAGGGCTAGCCCGAGGACCAGGCCCTGGCCACCGACGTGCACAGGAGCACGCACCGGTCCAGGCCCGGCTTCCTCATCAACACACACGCCCCTGTGCTAAACGGCAGGTGGCTCTTTCCACGCCCAGGTCCGCCTCCCCCTTTTAACAGACCCCAGCGCTGCCACAGCTGGTGGAACACCAGGAGGGTTGCTTGTCTAGGAGGACCCCCGGCACACAAATGCGACATGCACGCCAGCCACGCATCTGCACACAAGCGCACGTGCACGGAAGCCCCGGGTGCTCCAGAGGCTCTGCTCCCTTGCAAGTGCGGCTGGATGGCCCCAGCCCTCAGGCCACGGCGGTGGCGGGAGGGGCTGCCAAGGGGCTCTGGGCCCAGTGTGACAGGCCTTGTCTGCAGGGGGCACGCGGGGAGCCACGAACAATAGGGCCTTTGAAGGGCCTGAGCAGCAGAGGCGGGGGCAGTGGGGCCAGGGCAGGCCTGGAAGGAGCACAGCCATCTTGCAGGAGTGGGGGCGGGCAGGGCCAGAACGAGCAGCCGTGGCTCCGCAGGCACAGAGATGAAGCTCTTGCAGGGGCCCGTCAGGACCCCCCCTTACGGGAGGAGGCATCAGCGCCTTCCTGGCTTGGGCGGATGGGCCAGCACAAAGGCCCCTGCAGCTGAAGAGACAGCCCGTGGCCAGGCCAGCGCTGGGGAAAGGGCTCAGCCAGAAGGCTTCTGGACTTCCATGCTGCCAGGGACAGAACCGCAAATGCCCACGGCTTCCCGGGAGCCCGTGCACAAGCCGCGCCGGAGAGGCACCCAAGCCAAGGGGCTTGGGGCTACCATGGCCACTCAGGTTCAGCTCCTAGCCACTGCCCAGCCAGGTTCCTCCCCCCTGCTCTGT